CCGGAGGACCGCCGGGGGGTCCCAAAGAGGCAAAAATCCGCCCGCTCCCTGGAGAAAACCACATTTTTAGCGTGTTCACCTTTTTCGTCTTGATGCCGTCCAAGACGGCCCAAGGAGCCCCCCCAAGGTCGTCCCATGACGGTCCATGAGGCCTCTAAGAGAGCCCCAAGACATCCCAAGAGGGCCCCAAGACGGCCGCAGGGGCCCCCAAGACGGCTCAAGAGAGCCCCAAGAGGACTCTAAGGGGGGCCCAAGAGGGGAAATGCAACATGTCGAGCCATTCCCTCCAAGATGGCCCCAAGAGCCCCCTAGGAGCCCCCGAGGCGCCCACAAGAGGCCCCAAGAGGCCTCCAAGAGGCTCCCAAGATGCTCCCAAGAGGCTCCCGAAAAGCCCCAAAATGCCCCCCGGATGCCCCCAAGAGCCCTCCGAGAGGCCCCTCAGAGGCATCCCAAGAGTCCCTCATAGGCATCCGATAGATCGTCGCAAGCACTCCCTCCTTCGCGGGGTCGGCAGAATGGCGCAATTAAGGCACTTGAACAGATTGCTGTAGGGACCTATGAAGAGGGACCTTGGAGGGAGAGTTTAGAGCCACATCGTTGATGCGTCTTGAGTTTATACTATACTGGTCTTCCTCCTCCTCCTCCTCCTTCTACTCCTCCTCCTCCTCCTCCTCCTCCTCTTCCTCCTCCTCCTCGTCGTCCTCCTCCACCTCCTCCTCCGCCTCCTCCTCCTCATGGACGCACGGGTGTCGCCAAAGGTCACGCACGCGCGCACACGGCCCCCCGGCCATGGGAGCAACACTAACCCAGTGATGGCACCCGCTGTTGCGAAGTGCATTGGTCCCACGGCTTCTTGTGCTGCCTGTACTGCATGCCCCGTGCACGAGAATCCGAAAACACGCCAACGGGCGTGTTCATATGTGACGACCCAATCAGCACGCCAGGGGGGCGCGCAAGATCAAGACAGTCAGCAACGCCCCCCGATGCCCGAGACGGTAAGCTCGGGAAAAGGAGCAGTGCCGAGTCGCACCCAACCTTACCTACGTAGGAGAGTAAGGGAGCAATGAAAGGCCTAAACAGACACGACAAGGACCAGCATGAAGAAAATGTTAGACGGTGCCCACACTACGTTTTTGAGGGGGCACTGGATTCTGTTGCGGGCGGCTCGACACTACAGTCAGCTGCTGGAGCGCACGGAGACGGCACCCGCAGAAAATAGAATACTCAAATGAGTTGAGAACTCCGTTGGTGATTCGCGCTGCCTCCCCCCCCACCCTCCCCTCCAACCCCACCCGCGACTCTGACACTCGACCTAGTGAAGCACACGCACTACGAGACGGTGGCGGAACAGAGGGGGGATCTTGGAGCCAAATTGTCTAATTTCGAGCTTAGTTTTGCGCAAGTGACCTTGTGGACACCATTATCAGCTGCCTGTGAACTCAAAGGGTCCCACTGGGGTGATCTTTCTGATTACGTCTTCGGACACGCTCTCCCTTTTCCCCACCTCCTCCCCCATCCGGGGCAAGGAGCAGAGGTACGGCGGGAGGCGAGAGGAATGAGAGGGGGAAGGTGGCAGGCCTTCCTGCGTTGTAGCCGAATGTATGGTGCCTCAATAGATGTTCCAGATAAGATGGCTTAGCACATTGCGGCGCCAGTCGTGTGATCTAAACTGTCCCTTCCAGGTACCCTGCCTTTGCAAGCGTCTCCTTCCAAGCCACGGTCCAGTCATCGAAAGCCTGGAATTGTTTCTCATTGCTCGCCGCGCCTCTGAAAGCTTGATGGTATTCTCTGATGCCCAGCCCACCTTGCTTTGGACGGCCTCCTTGGAGGTCCTGTGGCTCAACATGTCGCCGATGGAATTGCTCATGCCATCGGAAGCCTCCTGGAAAGTGCGGGAGGTCACCCCTTCCCTGAGGACCTGCTGGCTTTCCCCCCTCGCCCATCTCGCCGTAGAGAGCGCGCTGAGAGCCTCCGCGGTTCACCTTGTCACAGAGATCTCGGGCGACAGAACCGGCCAACCGTCACCGTGCAGGTACGTTCCCGGTTGTTGACTTGGGGCAGCCGGAGCGGTCCAGCAGCAGGGCCGATACCGGCACGCATAATTTCCGCCTGGGAGCCCCCAGTGCACTGGGCAGCAGAAGGTTCCACGCGACTGCCCGCGGAAGTCCTGGTTACAGGCGAGAGGAGGAGCGAAGAGACCACATGCTGTCCAGAAGCTCTGTCGTGAGGGAGTGCGTTGCCGAGCCGCCGCCCCCCTAGGCACCCCCTCCGCGCACGGAGGGGGGCGGGCGGCCCTGTCCGAACCTCCGCAAAAAACACGAAGCGACCCCGCCAACGAGCGCAGCCCCGACAAGGACGAATGCGCCGGAAAAGCCGAATGCTCACGCACCGCGGAGATCGGTGGTCACCTGTCTTCTCGGCACCGCTGCGTCACCACGTGCCTACCGATCGGCGCAGCTCGGACAGGCGGGGCTCTGTCAGGGACTCGACTCGGGTGGGA